AAGTTATTTCATTAACTGTGCATGATGAGGCAGGCAAACTGCCAGACTGACAGCCGAGTGGAGTAGAAATGTCACACATAAACATACAAAAGGTTAACTAACTTTCTACCTCTACTACCATACGTTACTGTTAGATCTACTCTCATTTTTAAGGAAAATAAATCATATAATCATAAGGAAGCGGAACCTTAAATGAGCATTTTCTATTTATTTGTTTAATGTTCCAGGAAAAAAAAAAAAAACAAAAAAAAACAAAACCTAGCCACAGAAATGGCAACTTAAGATGGCAGCTTCAAGGACTCAAAACAAAACTTCTGTTGATCTAATGTTACCACATAAGGATTTATACGTTTCTTCAAATAAGTATTAATAACCTATTATATCTCAAGTAATATGTTGGGCCCTGTAAATCCCAAAATGAGCAAGAAGGATCCCTGACTCTTCAAAAACATATAACTTAATAAATAAGACACACAAGTAAATAATCGGTGTGCATTCCATGTAGCAGAATATATACGGTGAGTACACACAGGGTGTCCACAGGGAGCCCAAGAAGGGCCACTGAATCAGGATCTGCTCTCACATCTCAGGAAACTTCTCCCACCTTCCTGGGACTAAAGCCAACTTTTTCAGGGACTTAACAGTGCTTTGGGAACCAACAGGTACAAAACACTACCTATGCAGTATTGTTTATTCTCATGGTCAATGGACTTTCCCTCTTCAGCCCTGGTGATCACAGGACCACATATATAGCACAGAAAAAGCTCTGTGAAAAGTCCAGTCTGTTCATCAAGATATACAGGGCCAAAATGCGTATGGTCTAAGAAAGTGTGTGATTCAGTTAATAGTAGTACTGCATCAACACTAATTTCTAAGATGTAACAAATGTTCCATGGTTAAACTTCAAATGCTAACATTAGTGGAAGAACAGAGAAAGGTAAGATTTGTACTATCTTTGCAACTTTTCTATAAATCTGATACTCCAAAATAAAATGTGTTTAAAAAGTTAAATATACCTTCCCATTTACCCTTAGGGTTTAAATCAAGCCTCATTACCCACTGTACCAATCTGGGTAATACCTGGTTAACTGTTTTCAAATCCTTTTCAATTCAATTCTATAAAAAAATTTAGAGTCCAGCTGGGTTTCCTGCTTTACCAAGAAATCTAAGGGCCCCCCTGGTGGTGCAAGGGGTTAAAACGCAGCAGTATGAAGCTGAACTGAAACCACTGCAGTAAGTTTGAGCCCAGGTCAGGGAGGTGACCTACAAGGTGCAGCTGACCTCTCCTGTCTCCCCCACTATTCACCTCAATAGTGTATTTCAGTCAATCTGCCTGTTTACACTTGCATTCCTGTCTCTGATGAATCCTCTCACCCCTCACACCTCTGGCTTGTACCCCAGTTCTGTATGCATAAATAAATATTTCTAAAAATAGATAATACTTGGGAGGTTTTAAGTGTTGTCTCTCTTCATAGCTTCACTATATATGCCGGGGAGGGGGGGGCATCCTTGGAATTGAACCTGGGCTGGCTCTCTGGTTGTAAAGAAACAATAGAGAAAAATGTGTTACTACACTTGCTACTACATTATCTTTACCTGATCTCTAGTCCAAAAAAGTAATGAATACAAAATACAATTAACAGATGTTGATAATAACATCTTAATACCAACAGGCAAACTGCACTAAAATAAATACTTCAGCAACAAGCTCTGAAAAACATGGTGCAAATTCCTCAGCTATTCAAAGTAACAATTCATGCTGAAATCAAATGATACAGTTCAATTCAGGCTAAGTTTCTATTAACTAAACAAATACTCATTTCTTTCTAATCTCATAATTTAGAAAAAAGAACAGACTTCAAGAGTCCCACCAGGAAACCATCATTGTGATATAATATCATATGAAGTCTTCAGATACTTGGATTCACAGGCAGGCGTGCACACACACTCACACACATACATTGCAATTAGGTTAAATGGCAGGTTCAAACCTCAAAAGTCTGAAAGCTATTAACAAAAGAATATCACTGAAGGCAAAACATTCAACTCTTTTAAGAAAAGAAACCAAAGGAAGATAATTGAAATTTAAACCTAACCTATTTAATGGCTAAAGTCATTTGAATGGTTAGATACACTAGACTCTATTAAAGTCATCAAATCTGACCATATGGCAAGTTGATCATATTAAAAAAAAATTATGTAACAGTATTCTGAGTATTCTGACCTCGATCACTTCCAGAAATAAAAGAGTAACTCCTCCAAAATATATCGATTTGTATACCACCTATCACAATCTATCTGTTCACAAGTCTTTCTCCAATACAGGCAAAACTAGGGCAGAATGGACCTTGAATAAGTATTTTCTGTATGAATGAACATACAGCTTAATATACCTCTGAGGTAGCCTTACAAGCTAATTCGGTGTCATGATCTTAGGAGCAGAGGACGCTGGGTACATATTACCACATTTAGAAGCTAGTCAGGTTAACTGAAAAATAATTGCAGCTAGCATTTGTTAAGGGAAAATATAGTATCACATGAAACATAAAAATATGTGCAAAAAACTAAACTAACTTGAAAATGAAGAAAATATGAATTTTTTTCTCCCTTGATGGCCACAAAAATGAAGCTACCTTTACCTTTCTAACACTGAAATATGTAAGATGTTCTTCAGGGACTCTTTCACTACCTAAAGTTTTATAAAGAAATTTGTTATCAACTTAAATTAGATAAATGAGGCCAATCAGTGAATGGAATGAAGTTCAAGCCCAATTATGTGTTCTAACTGTGGGTCAAATGCCTTGAGCAATTCTTTTTTAAGACAAGACAAAAACAAACCAAAAAAAAACCCTCTTGACTGCTGAGGACTAAAATAATTTCTTTCTCTCACAAGTATGTAATCAAAGGCAATTGCTGCTCCTACCCAACACAAAACAACACCATCACCATCAAAACATGCTATAGACTGTCTGAATACTTTAATCTTAGAATATAGAAACTCTGGTTGCAATAAATTCACAATGCAACAAAAGCATTTTTCTAAGTATATTTTCATCCCCCGTGGTTTTCCTACACCAATTAGCTCCCTATCAAGCATTAACAATCAAACAAATCAGAAAATTTCCAGAATACACACTACAAGCTGCTTTTTTTTTTTAATTTGTTATTGTTAATGCTTCCAACATTCAGTGCACAAATTACCAGGAGTATTTTTCTGTTAATGCCTGAATTTAAATGCAAATTACTGTTTAATTATATGCAATTTCCTTCTGAACTATATATAATACTAATCAGTCTCCAAATGTTTAAAACACACACAGACAACTGATCGTGTTTGCTTAAAAAGCATATTGCCTAATCACTGAGAGGTTCTACCGAATCAAAAAAAAAAAAAAACAAAACGCTGTCAGCTCTATCCATGAATGACAGCTTGGCAGAGACAAGTTGTGCTGAAAAGATTAGGAACTGGTGACTTCAAATAGGGTAAAGAGGGGGACATATACAGTATCTTTGGATGTTCAATAATAAAATGATCTCAACAGCAAAATTTCAGAGCTACAAAACTACTTAAACATAAGCATACTTCCAAGACAAGAAAACCAGGAAGAAAATTTGTCTTCATTCAAATTAATACCAGACATCACTCTGCAATTGTGCTCAAGAAACGAAAACTTAAAATACAATTGACATTACAGTCTAATACCTCCTTATATTCTACATTGGAAAATATATTATAATCATTGAAGACACTTAACAGGGTTTACTTGTGGTGGCCAGTGTTCTACAGATTCCACACTTTAACGCATTTAGTACTAATAATATCTCTATACAATATACTGCTGATTATCTCCATTTTACAGATAAAGAAACTGGATCACAGATAGATTAACTCACTCACTGTCATAAAACTAATAAGAGATGGAATAGGGATTTTTAAAGCCATCATTTAGACTTTAAAGTTCAAGTTTACCAAAACAGTGGTGTCTTAGTAAAGGTTATGAAATGGTCAGTTTTCTTAACGAACTAACCTCTTTAGATTTCAAATATTAGGACAGTTTTGTGCCATAAGAAAAGTGCAGGCTTTGGGTTCAAACACCTGAACCAAGTCTGAACCTCTTTAACATCTTTAAAATGAGGGTGCTTTCACGGGTGACTTGGTGATGGGAAACACGCAGGGGGTTACAATTGAGATGGAAAAAAATGTACAAAATGATGTAAAAATAAAGTGTTATAAATTTTTAAAAATGAGGGTGCTTCAGTTATTGTAAAGGTCAAAAAAGGATGTGCAGTTAGTGTCAAGTATAGCATACAAAATATAGGTCCTTAAACTTAACACCACAGACATCTGGAGGGTCTACATATGAGCAGTCTCCTAATTATATGACACAGTCTCATAATTATATGGCAATTGCATGTGTACACATTTTTAAAAACTCGTCCCTGGCCTTCCACAAACTTTCGACGGGCATGTAAACTTCAAAAGGTCAAGAACCACCAGAGTACAAAGCAAGTGATCAAAGAAATACGTGTTAGCTTTCCCTTCTCGTTCTTCCTTGTCCATTAAGGATGACACGCCCTATTTATTCACAATTAATGCCAATTCTTTCCCACCATTTTCCTGCTTTGGTAACAACTCTCATAGGCAAGCTTATAACCCAATTTTCGAGAGGCTGTCTAAAATCCTCAAACGCTGCTTCAATGCCTCTTTTCACCAATACACTTACAAGATACTCCCTCGGGGAGAACTAAGAGACTCGTCCACCCTGCTGCAAGAAGCACCATGCCGGATGGGGAACCTAAGTAGGAACCAGAATCTCTAAGTTGCGTGGAAGAGATCTGACACCCCAGCGCGAAGAGATGAAGAGAACGTGTTTCCCAAAACTACTGAGCAACACCAAAGGCCATCCCTCCCGATCCTAGTACTCTTTCTGGAACTCAGGTTCAGCAAGTCCTCTGGGTTCTGCCCCCGGGCTGGAGTTGGTAGAGGAGTGAAACGTTACCCGAGGATGGGGGGTGCAGAGCGGCGAAGTCCCAGCGCCGCTACCTTGGGAGGCTGCAGCAACACCCAGCAGGAGACCGACCCTGGCACCTGCCCTCAAGAGACCCCAGTACAGACCTTCTCCCGGGCTGGGAACCGGCGAGAGCTTGCCCGTTTCCCAAAGCGGCTTCCGCTTCCGGGCTATCTTTTGCCGGAAGCAACTTACGAGTGACGCAAAAGAGGCGCGCTGTTGGTGATTGCGGAAGAAACGAGATTGCACCGTGAACATGGTGAGTGAACCGTGTCTGTCTACCCTGGGTGAAAACTGAGGGACACATCCCTGGGCTAAATTTCCTCCACATTCTTTTTATTTTCACTATTGATTTTAGCTCTTAATCTGCTCGGCGCGGTGCCCGTTATGCTCCAGAGAGTGGGGAGAAGCCGGGATTGGGGCAGGGAGAGAGAGGACCTGGCTGTTTGAGGGCACCGGGAGATGGACAAAAGCAAAGAAGGGATTTAAGAAGATGTTTTTAGCTGTATGTACAGGCCTTTTAATTTTAAAATTTTTGTTTCAAGGGGAAGCAAAAGAAAACAAGGAAGTATGCGACCATGAAGCGAATGCTTAGTCTGAGAGATCAGAGGCTGTGAGTGTCCGGAATAGACTGGGTTCATAGACTATCCAGAGTCTATTAGGAGTCGAAACGCGCTAAGTAGTAAACGTTTTTGTTATTTTATGTTTACTTTTTAATTATTTTTGTGTTGGATCTATATAGCACGGTAAAATAGTTAAGCGTCTGTCACTTAGCTGCTGAGCCCAGTACACTGATGAATGGGATGGGAATTAAACATCTCTTAAATATTGACTTTGTGCCACCGTTTTTATGTATTTTATCTATTTCCTATTAATTCTGCGCAGTAGGTGGGACTATCTTTATGTTCTTGCCATTACACACACACACACACACAATGTCGAAATAATTGTGGAAAGAATGAGATCAGCCATGGTTGTCCTGTATCTCCAGCACCAAACATTCAAATATTTAGGGAAACACCTAAATACCTCATTTTTAGAAACCTAGGAAATCCAGATTGCTATAGAAGAAAAGTGAAATGATTTTCCCTATTTTAAGGAGAAAATAAGTAGGCTCCCTGCTCCAGTGAAGAATGGAGACAGTTATGAGTAAGGACTGGTTTTTGTGTTTCAAAGCCTCACAGCAAAGGAATGGTCATTTAAAACCTTCAGTTATTCTATTGTCAAGCCTTTAGTATGTATGTATTATGGAATTTTTGGAAATTTGCCCCATTGATATTTTATTTTTAATTAAACTTGTGTATGTGTTGTTACATTTAACCATTTTTAAGGTGCATATGAGAGAATATGGAAACAGTGGAAACGTGAGTTTTCAGAAGATAAATGTCAAACTATTTACCACTGCTTGGTAGTAGATTTTGATCCTTGATATAAGCTTCTAAGAAAGAAATGGTAATATGATCAACATATATTTACCCTTATTAATTTTATGAATTATTGACTAAAGATTTTAAATTTTAATAATTCACTGATTATGTTACTTCTAGGCTATTTTTTACACAGCTACTTGTACTCAAAAAATGCTTAATGATATGAACATAATGAAGTTATAAAATGAGATTTCCTCTATAGACCAAAATAAGGAAATTTAATTTTGAGTAAATTAACTGCTATGATGCTCATCCTTGCATTTAATTTCTTTTTTCCCCATAGTAAAGAAAAGGATAGACTAAAACCAAAAAAGAAAGAAAAGAAAGACCCCAGTGCACTCAAGGAAAGAGAAGTGTGAGTAATCAAAATTTGTAAGTTTCTTTTAAAACTTCAGGAGAAAATCTAAAACTACAAGCCTCTTGAAATCCAGACTTTCCCTGAACTGATTGGTTCAGTCATTTGTGAGTAAATCAGACATATTTATACAAATGAAAGTGATATTGATGAGTATATACCAATTTCAGTGGTTTGAAGGTTTTTGAATTTCACAAAGCATTACAATTTCCCTTAAGATACTAGGGGTATCATTTTTTCCTTTTTAAGAATAGTTCAAAAGAAATAATTGCATGTATTATACATCAACATTTCATGAAGGAAGGTATCTCCAAAAAAACTAGTAAAGACAACTTTCAGAATAAAGATTATTCTTTTCAAATAAATACTGTGAACTTTATGAAAACATCCAATTTTACTTTTCTTACTTGGCGATAAATGGTTATGGATATATCATCACAGGATTTTTTTTTTTCCAAGTAAAAGTTAACTTATTCCACTGGCAAGCCTTAATTCTATAATAAAAATAATAGAAATTTTAATTTCTTTATTGGAAGATGTAATATATACACAATAATTACATGTACAGGTTTTCAGCCATATCAAAAAAAATGAATAAAAATAGTTATTGTTGCCTTAGTTTATTGTAGAAAGTATTATTACATAATTATTAGGACTTCTTCAAAATGAATAAGAGAAGGAGCTTAACCAGTAGCAAACTATTCTTTATTTTGCATTAATGCAGGCATTATTTTGTGTTTTGGTTCTTTTCCCTCAGCACCCAACACCCCTCCTGCTTATTCTTCCAATATAACACACAGCTGGGCCCACCATATCACATCCTGGTTGATACCAACTTTATCAACTTTTCCATTAAAGCCAAGTTGGACTTAGTGCAGTCAATGATGGACTGTTTATATGCCAAGTGTGAGTATCATACTTTTACATTTCTGTAACATTTGTATTGAATTATCATATCATATTTATTTAAATACATGAAAAGAAGGGCTTCTAGTTAAATGAATTGCTAGTTATTTAATTGACTAACCATAGCAAATTGAAATGTAATGCATACTTGAGTGGATATAGTTACATTTTCACAATTCAGAAAACATGTCCTTTGACCATCTTTGTGGATATTTTGAAAAACAGATGAGAATTTTTTACCTACTAAACATAAGACTGTGGTGAATATCTGAATATCTATCTTTGTAAAGTGGAATATTTCATTAGGATTCATTTTCTAAGAGCTGTATTTGTAGTATGAAAGGGTATATATTTTTTAAATTGTAATAGATATTGCACAATTACTCTTAAATAGTTATTCCTACTGATAATATAAGATTAATTCCTTATTCAATAATTGGGTATTTTCATCTGTTTAACACCACACTATAGGTAGAAAATGTATCTGTTTTAGTCTATATGTCCTTATTTAAGGAATGAACTTGAGCATCTCTCTGCTTATTGACAATTTGTATGTCTGTTGTAAACTAAAATACAGTATGATGGCTAAGAGCCTAGTCAGTAACCAGACTTAGTTCAAATCTTGGCTTCACCTTTTACTATCTAGTTACTTAACTTCTGTATGTCTCAGCTGTATGTCTCAGGTTCTTCATCTATAAAGTGGAATGATAATAATAACACTTCTACATGATAGAAATTATTTTAAAGAATAAATGAGGTAATTCTTGTGAAGTGCTTAGCAAAATGTCTGGCAAATAACACAAAATCCTTAGCTACTATTATTAGCTCTTTTATAGAAAGGAAATTAACCCTTTGACAAATGTGTAAAAATATTCCCCCCCCCCTTTTTTAAGATTGATTTATTTATGCATACAGAATTGGATTACAAGCAAGAGGTGCAGGGGGTGAGAGGATTCACCAGAGACAGAGTGGGGAGTAAAACAGGCAGATCTACTGAAATACACTGCTGAGGGGAGCAGCGGGTGGGCGGGTCAGGAGAAGAATGCCATGCCATGTGGGTCACCTCCCTGGCCAGGGGTCAAAATCATGCTGCAGTGGCTGCAATAGCTTCATAGTGCTGTGCTTTAACCCGCTGAGCCACCAGAGAGGGCCCCCACTTTATTTTCATATGACTGTTGATAGTTGTCGATCAAAATTTACATTTTTCTGGTTAATATCATGTTTTCTCTTAGTTTACATTTCAAATTTATTTCCAACCAGAGTTTATTTTAGTATGTAAAGTATGATGGGGTCCAGCTAACTTTTTTTCCTCTAGATATATTCAATATGTCTGTGATGTATTTTTGGGACAATTTCTTATAAGTAGAGCCTTATTCTCCTTTTACTACTTTTTATTCATCTCACTGTGCTGCTTCTGTCATTCCAGAAGTCTCTTGGGTCTTTGAATAACTGGACAGGATATAACTCAGGGAGAGTAAAATTAGTTTACTTGCCATTTCAGTTACCATATGTATTTCTTTCCTGGCAGGTATCCCTTGTATAACTGACTGTGTAATGGCTGAAATTGAGAAATTGGGACAGAAGTATCGAGTGGCTCTCAGGTAGGCTGGGTTGGTCTAGATTTGTTCTAGATTGATATACTGAAGATTCTTTTGCTCTCCAAAGACATCTTGACAATTAGTTTAAATAAAAATTCTACAAAATTAGTTTATCAGTATGATTAAGAAAGCAAACATTTAAATGTTAAGAGATTTTTAAGCTTTTTGAACTGAGTTACTCATTCATGTTGGTCTCATGGGCCTCCTTTAAACAGTTCCGCTAGGTTTTCAGTTAAAGAGTGTCTTTCTGTCAGTTTGTTATACAGATATCTTCTTCTGAATCAGTGTCTCACACATCAAGGATTCACATTCTAGGTTTTGCGTTTACTCTAGAAAGCATTCTTGAATTTAGACACCTTTGCGAGTACAAAGCTACTTTCTAAGAATACCAACACATTGCCTTTGTGTTGACATTTGTTGGCAAAAATACTGGTGCCTTCATGCAAGTCAAGATATTGGGCCCAGGTAATGCTAGTAGCCATTGTATTCTTCATCATCACTTATTGGCAGCTTAAAAAAAATACCAAAAAAATACCCAAGTCACTTAAGAACATCCTTGAGGGGGACTGCAGTGATGGTGCACAAGTGAATTAGTGGTGGAAATTCTGTGGGAATACACCTGAGAAAAGAAAGCAAACATTTAAAAATGGACAGTGATGTAAATAAATTATAAAAAGATTAGGATTGGGGGGGTCTGCTTGTGTTTATTTCATTTCTTTAACTGGATGATAGATACTAGGTAGTCATTATTTTTTGTGTGTGTGTACTTGACATATTTCAAATAAATGGGAGGGAAAGATACAATTATTT